AATGCGCCGCTACGCGGCGTTTGAGCGCTTCGCGCGGATATCCGGCTGCAGATCGTCCAGAGGCGATGCAAGACCACCTTTTTCCGCGACACAGTTCAATAATGACGATGAAAAAATAAATGCGTGTCACTTATCTTGAATTCAGTGTTGGTAATCAATCAGCTATTATAAAGGTCATACATCACCGGTCTACAGCAATCGGAAAACCCATTCGACTCTTCCCGTCATGCCTAGAAAACAGTTAGAGCACTAGAATGCACTAGAATGCACTAGAATGCACTAGAAAAGAGCGATATTCTCTGAATGGTCCGAGGGTACCCGATTGCGGTCTACAGTTCGATAACAGCAGCACAGTATTAGCTTGCCTGATTGCTTGCATGCATGATTAAACTACTAGCTTGTTTCGTTATGAAATGACACAGGTCACGTTTTCAATTCCCCGAAAACGGTAAAGCCACATTCAAGTATGTTAGTGCACGGGTTACCACAAAAAATGTATAGGAATATTCACAGCTACAACAACCTCTCTCGCTAGCTCGATTATCATGATATCATTAAGCCAAGACAATTTCATTATCACGTTAATAAATTAAAAAAAAGTAATGACCACACATTAAAAACCGAGTTGTAATGGGAATTGTACTGAAAACGTTTGCCTTCCAAACTACTTAGAATTAACCTACGAGTCTTGACTTACATTAGAATTCACACAGTATCTCCCCCCCCCCTTTTATCCTACATAGGCGTTTCCAACGTGTCTCGTTGTTTCCTGTACGACGATCGATTTCGCAGCTCGGCAAAATCATCGGCTCTTACACAAGTATAATTTTTATACTTCCAGTATATTACTCGACTATAACTGTCGAGTATAGCGGGGGCGAAACGAATACGAACAGTGTAGGTGTGTTACCTAGGAAATTTCTTTGTCCAGACATAGACAGCAACGTCTCTGAAAATGTTAAAGCCACCCACATTTGGAAACACACGCACAGTATGTATTCTATGAAGAAAATACAGCCGCCAACAATAGACATCAATCGATCAATTTTCGAAATCAATCGTAAGTAACGTGTTTCCACCTACTTTAATACATTGGTTAAAACTTCTGTAGTGATCATCAGGCTAAACAGGCGACGTACTTTTGAAGAACAGCCAGTGGATTTTAAACATTACGTTTGTTCTCTTCTATTCTATAATCGTCTAATCAAATACAACGTTATCCTTTGTTCCCTGAAATGTATTAAGCGCACCTTAAATCAAATTTCAACGCTAATGGATTACAAGTTTCTACCAGAATGATTTACCATCGGAGTGGTGGACTTCATATATACACGCGTAATAAGTACAAACGAGACTAGCCAATGAAACACGGACAATTTCAAACCTGTTGATTTCGAACTGTGCAGATCAAGTTTAACGGGAGGCTTCATTTTCCCAAATTTACTTGACGTTTCAGTGCTCTGACAGAACACATATTATGATATCAAATTCGAGAAGGGCTAATCTTTTTTGATACAAAGTCAAGTTTATAGCAGTGTTGAATTTGCATATACTTGCATGTAAACGATCACCATTTCGATTCACCAATTTATCTGTATTCTATCAAGCAACCGAGTCATAATTGCAGAAAGCACGGGCAACTATCGCAGTTTCCCAGCAATGACTTTAAACCAGATATCCGACCACCGTAAAACGCTCTTAGCTAAGAAAAGATGTGTATATATCGCTATGGCATCCATTGCGTCCAACTGAACTTTCAAACATTCCGACAATCTTATTGAACCCACATTCTTTTCTCGAATCGCGTAATACACGCATACAGTCTCAACGTATGCGCAATTTTGAAACAGTAATGTGATACAAAATAAGTTATCAAGGTAAACGCGAGCGTGTATGAAATTTCTCATTTATAGCCACGAGACTGCTCGAGTTTAAGTTAATATCTACCAGTAGATTGAGAATATCTTCCAAGCCCGTCACTTAACTTGTAATCTACCGGATATTTAGGAGTATCATGCACCGAGCTTGATCAATCACGGCGGTGACAAACAACTAGTGGAAAAATGTTTTACCGCTAATGTTCATGGCCATATCATGGATTTCGCACGCCACATTTATTTTTCAAGGTGTTGTATTGCATTATTCGTCCTCCACGTTGACATCGCGCATGGCGGGTCTAAGTGAGGTGAATAACGAAAACCTTCAACTAAGGAAGAGCTAATTAACTGCATGATGAATGCACACACACGATAATCTTTTGATTAGATACGTGTGTAATTCCATTCGCCTTATACTAGCACGGCTTTTGAAATCGCAAATTTCTCAAATAGTCAATGCAGCTGCTGATGTGATGCAGTGGAAATGTACATGGGGTGGTTAGTTGGCGTTTGCGAGCAACCTATGTGAGATAAGTACATGTTCGCAATGAAGTAGACGCTAATTCTGAAAAACCGGCACCATATATAATTATGATACATAGCTAAGATTAAAATAAATTATAAACATTTATACAAATATAAGCATCTCATTAAAGGCCATAACTGTTTATCTAAAACTGGTTAATTTCAATAGCAAGCCTTTGTTTTTGCTAGAACTTGCATAATCGCACTTTAAAAAAAAATTCAAATTTAAAAATCACATATATACGCATATGTGAATAATTTTTCTCATCAATGTTGTTTGCCAAATGCCATAATCTCTGCAACAACCTGAATAATAACAAATAACAAACCAACCAGCAAAAATGAATAACTAACCAAATATTGCTGGGCCATGCTGGGTTCCACGGGATGAGTGTAATAAATAGCTGGGTAACCTAGATGATGATTCCATACGTCGTTAAGTAAGTAACTCATGCATAACACATCATGGCTTTCCTGTGACTACGGACACAAGCAGAACAGACAGGAGACTCAACCACGCATGCCCAATGACATTGCACTACCCTTGGTTGAAATTTATTAACATCAAAAACGTTAAATACCACAATGAATTTGTGGTTAATCACACAGTTATTACTGTTGAATGCATATATTAATTTTTATATAGTGATGCTCAAATTCAAATGCACCTTCAATAGTATTTCAGTATATTAGGCCTACTAAAGAGGATAGTCGTTTTAAAATCTTAAACAGGCTTTGAATAATAATGGGGCAGAACAAATAAAAGCACAATTTGTTTGATAATTAGCTCAGTCCTGTGATTGGTGTAAGCATGAAAGCTTTCCATGCTTTTATTAGAAGACGAGAGTTGCTAGCCTTTCATTTATGATGGTGTAATGGCATTCGAGACACTGCAATTTTTTGATATCTGGAACACTTAACAATAATAACTAACTAAACACCTTTGTGGCATGCGACACAACGTTTTGTTTGATGATCGACGCAACATGAATGTTCATGAGTATGTTCAGTAGTAAGTTCAAGTAGAAAACCCTACAAAGCTACTGCACAACTTGGAAGCCACTCTCGATTGCAGACGCCACTTCGCCAGTATCGTTACGCGCGAGTTACCTCACAGGACCTTCCGAGTGAATCTCTCACAAAATCTCACACCTGTGTCTGTTGCAAAAGTCTCCTGATCGGAAGGCAACTCGCCGCACTCGCAACTCGTCCTTTAACTAGCTCTGCGAGCGTGACTCACGCGCTTCAGCCGAGCATGCCGTGTGAGAATCCGACCGGGATGAGCACCAGCGTGAAGATGATGGCGTTGCGCACCAGGTACTTCCAACTGCCGGGGATCGCGTAGTTCGACAGCACGACGGTGAGCTTTGAGATCTCGTGCGACACGCACACGAAGACGAACGACGTCACGATGACGTTCAGTACCGGGTAGCTGGGAATCAGCACGAGCACGCCGTGCGTGTCCGCCGCCAGCCAGATGTGATACTGGCTGATGAACAACTGCAATGACGAAACGGGCCAGCATTATAAATACACACACGCATGCACAGGCGCACGCACGCACGCACGCACGCACACACGCACGGTAGTCTCGATTATCTGACCTCCGGCTACCCGACATATCCAATCCGTAATCTATCCGTACTGTGAAGTGTTGTGATGCACGCTGATGCACAATCTTTTGCCCGACACCATGCTGCGTTGTCTCTCAATGCATCATATACCATCTTTGATGTAGCTTTATTTCCCGCCGAAGAAAGGTCAAATTTTCCAAAAGGAATTTAAAGAAGAGGAATCTCATTCTACGGCTACCATAGGATACTTGTACTTTAGAATGAGTACACGGGTCAGTAGTGAACAACAGTGATCAATATGTAGATTTTAAATAAAATAAAAATATTTTTTACACTATTTTGATCCTGCTGACAAATAGCTGGATAGACAGACATCATATGCTAAGTCAAGAATTAACAAGAGTGTGGTCAAATCGGCATTAATCGCAGAACAAAATCGTCCTATCCGAGCAATGTTAATATCAGGAGTCTATCAATAGACTCTATTGATAGACCTTTCTGCTCCTTTGTTTAACATACATGACACTAGTCGTCTCATAATATGTATTACAAAGGTTTTAAGTATCTACAGACAACCACTTGTAATAACATGCATCCAGAGAGACATGATACAAGATTGCGTGGCACAGCTTTGCTGTAGATCCTGAGCGCTGCGCGCGGATGAGACGCGCAGTTCCGCGGGATATGCGCACGCGACCGCGGGGATGTTCAAGTATGAAGCGCTGCCCGCTGTGGAGACGTGCGCGAAATTGGAGGCCCGGCGCACGTCTCCACAGCGGTCAGCGGATGGTCTGTCGTTTTAGAAGATGACAATGGGATGTCCACAACTACCATAAAAGTAGTGTGCCGTGTGTGTGTGCGTGTGTGTGTGTGCGCGTGCGTGTGTGCGTGTGTGGGTGCGTGTGTGTGCGTGTGCGCGCGTGTGTGTGTGCGCGCGCGCGCGCGTGTGTGTGTGTGTGTGTGTGTGTGTGTGTGTGTGTGTGTGTGTGTGTGTGT